ATTGCTTCCCTTTGAACCTTTTGTTCTTCCAAGAAACTTTGTGAACCTCTTTGCTAAAAAGTTAATTTCATCTTCTTCCATAGAAGAATCATCATCTTCTTCTTCTTCTTCATCCATAGTCTTGAGGGCAATCTTCCTCTTTGGTTTAATCTCTTTCTCTCTTGGCTTTCTCTTCATCTCAAATGTCAATAAGCTATGAATTAGCTAATCTATTTTCATTTTGGTGAGATCTTTGAATTCTTCAATTGCGATCGCCTTCATTATCCAACTTTTCAGCAATGAACGAAGAATCTTCTTCACAAGCTCAAGAGTCGCAAAGCTCTTGGAGAGCTTTGAGATCATTTATCAAGTTGGAGAATCTCTTGTACATGTTTGTGATGCTTTCTTCAGTTTTCATCTCAAACAACTCATATGTTAGTTGCTGGTGGGGTTTGCACAATGGAAATTAAAATAAAAATCCCCAAATAGCAACATGAACCCAAGAAAAACTTATACTCGAATTACGTCGTTTTGTAAAAAAAAAAAATAGATAATAATTCAGAATTATACCTGCATTTGGAGGCTCTTTCTAAAGATAGAATTCACTCCCACTCTAAGCCAAGAGTGCACTTTCGAAGTCCACATGAAGACAGAACGGTGATCAACTTGCGGTCTCAAGTGCTAGCAAGACACACAAGCAAAAATGATGCATAATTTTTCTTCACCAAGTGAAAGACGTGAGAGAGAGAGATAGAGAGGGGTGGCTAGGGTTTCTTTTCAAGGAATAATCATCATTTTAATTTTTTTTAGTTGCTCTTAAATAGTGCACACTAAAACCATAATCTAATATGGAATAGCAATCTACTTATTCCATATTATGTTAGCTTTATTCCATTACCAAACAAAGCATTTATATTCAAATTTAAAAATTAAATTTGAATCCCATTTTATCAAAATCAATATTAATAGATATTAATATAAAATAATATGTTTTATATTTAAATATATATAAATATATATATACACTTAATATATATTTAAATATACAATCTCACTAATTTAATTTCCATATGAAATTAAATATAGGCAACAACCTCGACAAATTTAATTGTATTGTGAGATTACCAAAATGCCCTTTCATCAAAAAGACGAAAATGTCATTTCATCAAAAAGACGAAAATGTCATTTCATCATAAATGATGAAAATGACCCTCTCTCTTATCCATCCTTAATATATCTTCTATGTGTGTGACTCAAAGGCTCCTTATTATATCGGCAGTGAGTAGTTTCGCGATTGACACCAATCAATCATCTCACTAAACACAGACTAAGATTGGCCTCTAGCAAGACATCATGGCCACCCGATAGATTCGGATTCAACGAAACAACTTACCCATCAACGATATAGTTACTATGCAATTCAATCATTTCATCATCTATTATCTCATCAAGGCCTAGGCACAAAAGTAGTGTTAACCTCAGATATCCTTGATATCTCGGTATTCAGATATTAGACCAATAACCAGAATAAATTGGATTGAGCTACAACTCAATCCCGCTATGACCACAGATTTAATGTTGTTGTCATCTACCGAATTATTTAGTGAGATAATTTCTCATGTACCCAGGAGTGATGAATCATTTGTTGATCCATCATAGTCTTAATACACTTTTCGATGCAGCCAATCACTACCGTTCTGATAGTCCTGAATAGAACTACGTTAGACTAGTGTCAAACTACACCAATTGATGCACAAGACGCTCTGGTGATCTCAAGTCTAAGGATCACATGCACCACCATCTGTTAGAGGATCTATTCCATAGACACTAGGGTACCATCCATATGGAATCCTTTGGTGGGTCTATCCAGTGAACTTGCCTATAAGAATCACCCATGTGTTACACCAGGTTGTCACCAAATATCCTTGACAAGTGAGATTGGTCACTGTCTTTTGACAGGGTTGTTTAACACTATGATAGTCTTACAGTATTATTTGTGCCCTTGGTCAGAATAAGGGCACAAATAATACTAGGGCTATTGATGCTTCTAGAATGGCCACCATATGTGCTCATAAGGTTCTCACTATCGAGATTTGGAGCACTCGATACCCTCGTCACGATTCTAGTATTCTAAGGACATACATTATAACATACATTAAATACGAATTATATAATGTAGAAAATGTCTTTTATTAATTATAAACATTATTACAAGAGTCATCATTTACAATGCTGATTGGCTCTAGGGCACCTACTCTAACATCATAGTCATGGAATATCACATCAATCTTTGATTCATTCACTTGACTTGTTCATTCATGAGTAGTTTGAAGAATTTCCCAAGCATCTTTAGCCGTTACACATGTCGGTACTCTTCCAAACTCTGTAGAATCAAGAGAGTAAAACAAAATGTTCAGTGCTTTTTCATTTAAGCTCAATTTATTTTCATCTTCAGCCATGTAAGGTTCTTCATCCTTGGGAAGACCTGTTGAATCATTAATGGAAACAAAGTTCCCTTACTCAACTCTTTTCCACATGTTATAGTCTATAGATCTAATGTGGAGTCTTATTCTAAATCTCCATTGTGTGTAGTTTGTACCACAAAACAATAGGGATCTAGTGGTGCAATGACCCTCACCAAATAATAGTGTAGATGAACTAGCCATGTAGATCGATTGACTCGTGAAACCGTTAGGTTTTCAACACAAGAGCCCAAGCTTTGATACCAATTGTTAAACCTTAAATATGGCTAATATTCCCAGAGGGGGGATGAATAGGAATCAATAAAAATGTTCGCGGAATAAAACTTATCAATAAAAGTTAAAGCAAAAGATGAGTTTATCAAAACAATGTTCAATGACTAAACTCAACAACCAAATAATGATAGAGTTAATGATAATGAAAATGAGAGATAAATGAACTCAATAGAGAACAATAAATGCAATCAACTTGTAGGTAATATATATGAACAATGAATGTATGAACAAGTGAAATAAATGATGTTCAACCAACAACTATGCAATGAATGATAAAGAGTTGAGAGAGAGAGAAACGGTCAAGGATTTATAATGGTTTAGAGCTATATCCACAAGCCTCCTACATCCACTTCTTCAAGGCAAGCTTCTTGAAGTTCCACTAGAATCGAGTTGTGCCACTACAATAGTTTTCATAAGGATTTTCGCCTCACACACTTAGATTTACAGGATTGCACCTAGTTTTACAAGATTTCATCACTAAGGAATGAATCAAAGTTGTTTGTGAATGATTGCCTCTTCAAAGTAGGCTTATACACATAATAAGAACAAGTGAAACTCTCAGAGGTTTACAAAATGAGTACAAGTGAGAGTATTTGATTTGGATCTTGAGCTCTAGGGATTATATGAGAATGTATTCTTATTTTTTTATGACTCTTCTCTCTCTTTTTCCTTAAAAACGTTGAGCTTTTATAACCCTAAAAAGATTAGCTGTTGCAGCATTTAATGCAGTTCTGATAAAGTCTACAGAACTCAGAAGAACGGTCGTTCCATAATCACAAATGATCGTTTCTGACGTTTCTAACCGTTTGTGACGTTTCTAACACAACGGTCATTTTTCTCAAATCCAGGTTAACTGGAATGGTTATTCCACCATGCCATATGATCGTGCAAGGACATTACACGGTCATTCCACCACATGGAATGACCATATCTAGATGCTCTTCCAAATCTTCTTAAATTTCCAGAGGAGTGAACGATCTCTTGGAACGATGTTGTGCAAAACTTCTTCAGATACGAACGATCATTCTACCACAAGGAACAGTCATTCCAATTTTTAATTTTGACTCTGACCTTTGAGATGAAGTCAAGAGCACAAAGCGATTTGAATTTGAAATATCTTGAATTTTAAACTTGAGCACACGATTGTATAGGATGGTTGTGCGAGTGCAGTCTGGTCGTGTGAGTGTCACTCAATTTGGCAGAGAGACTAACGACCAAGAGGAACGATGTTGTGTGACATTGCGCGACAACTTTCTCTTATGGCACGGTCATGCCTTTCTTGTGCATAGTCATACCTAAGCAGAAATTTGCCCATGCACGACCATTCCACCTGATAAACCTGTTTTGTTTTTATTATGACTTATGTCATACCTTAGCATGTTATGGTTAATGTTCAATTAACTTTTTGGATAGTTTTGACACATCAAAACGCATGAGAGGTGAACACACCTTTGGTGTAGCCTCAGTTAGGACATTGTACTTTATCTCTAAAACTAGGGTCAATCTGATTGTACTAACAACTCTTTTGAACTCTATTCCATTCTCTGTCAAACATTTTCTCTGGTTTACTCTCTTCTAATGCTCGATCAAGACCTTGTTGTACTAAAAGGTCTTGTATCGTACTTTGCCATAAGATAAAATTAATTTTACCATCAAATAAAGGAGCCTCAAACTTAGACATACCTCTAAAAAATTTGAGATGCCTGACAATCGCTGATCTAATCTTAAATCTGCCATCTTCTAAAGTTTGCCTTCTCCTAGATCATAAACAAAAAAAGATTCCCACAACTCAAACACAAAAACTAAGGCTGCGTTTGTTTCGGTATTTAACACTTTTGAAAAAAGTTTTCTGACAAAAGTTGGTGGAGTTGTATTTAAAGTTTTCTGAAAAAGTTTTTGCATTTGGTGGAGACTTGTTTATTTATTATAATTATCAATAGATATGTCAGAAAAAAATTGTTTGCATTTAATAATGTGCTGTGCGCCTGCGCCTTCTGTGTCACCTTATTCCCACGCCACTCGCGCCATCGGTTAGCTGAACGCAGGGGTGTTTTTGATAATTACTGAACTTTTCAATTCACATTTAAATAATATTAATTAGTTGTTTGGTAAATTTTTAAGGGTTTAATTAAAAACAATTTCTCCGTAAGTTGTTCGACTACTAATATATCATTTAAAAATACAACATTAATACATATCTAAATTAATAATACGAAGCTATTAATAATCATCCCTCAAAATGACTTGTACCCCAATATTCAGTTATCAATACGAGTTGGACTCATGTTCTGCCCACAGAGCAGTAGTTATGCTATCCCTTATCCTTCCCATGTCGTCTGTATTACGCTGAGTCAGTTGATTCGAACTCGTCCCATTTCCTTCCTCACAAACTCCATTGCCATTAAACCTTTGGAAGATAGGGTCGTTCGTATCGAACTTTTTGATAAAATTATGAATTACACAACATGCCATAACAATGTTAGCTTGCCGCTGCAACGGGTAATTATTCATGCCATCAAGAATGCGGAACCTTTTTTTAAAAACACCAAAGGTCCTCTCCACAACATTCCGAAGCGATGCATGTCTGTAATTAAACAACTCCATAGGTCCAGAAAGGTTACGACGCACATCAGAAACATGATAAGGAACCTGTCTATGTGGGGCGAGGAACCCACCTTTGTTCGCATAACCCGCATCTACTAAGTAATATTTACCTATGTAGAATAACTGCATGTTATTTGAAGAAACATGAAAAAATTGTTTCTAGTTTAGCTACAGTACATAAACAAGTTAGGGTTTACCTGGAGGAGGATGCGGGAAACCCGAACCAGGATCATCTAAAACTGAATTTAGAACCCTTGCGTCATGGGAAGATCCTTCCCAGCCAGTGACGACATATGTGAACAACATATTGAAGTCGCAGACGGCCATCACATTCTGCGACAATGCCCCTTTACGATTTCGATACGTATCAGCTACCTCAATTGGCGTCGACCCACGTATATGTGTACCGTCAATCGCTCCAATACAGTCCTGTTGACAAAATTGCATTTTAGTAATATGTGAAGACCAACAACAATTATGAAACAATGAACTTAACCAACATCTAATTAAAAATTATTAAGTACCTTAAAGAATGGGTAAAAGTTTGGGTTGGTCGATATCTCCAATGGAACATCAGTAAAGTCAGGTGACTTGATAAAGACTGACATCAACTCCACTATCGCATCACAAACTGCATGGACATATCTACTGATTGTCTCACCGAAATGCTGGTAATCCTCCCCACAATCACGATTAGATGCATTTTTGGCAACTGTTGTCAAAAATATCATTACTTGTTCTTCAATACTCATGTGTCTGGTTACTCGCAGTTTGCCTCGTTGTGCCAATATATAACATAAGGTTTGAAAACATCTTTTGCTCATGCGACACTTATTGTAAATTCTTCTAGGATGACCATTCAGCAGTTCCACCATATAATCGTGACCATTTAATGAAGATGTATTTACAGGTTGGCGTGGTTGCATGCTTAACTCCATTTCATATGTAATAGCCCCACACATCGCGACTGCAGCATATATATATAATTGTTCTTCTTCACTGTCATTATCTTGATTCTGGTTTGTATGGCTAGACGACGCCATTTACACCTGTCCATTATGAGCTTTGCTTCCATTAGTTCATACTTTTTTAATACTAAACAAATAAATAACATTCAATTTTAAAGATATGAATCATTGCACAACAACAGATGGTGTATCGATTCTTAGAACAAAGCAAGTGAAGTCTGTAATACGAAGAAAGTAAATATAAAAATATCTCATATGTCAACAGAATCAATAAAGACTAACAACCGAAAACAAGTTCAACAAGGAAGTCCTAAACCGTCATCTACGTACGACGGATATCATTATAAACCCAAAATTCCCTGTTCGCATGTGACATGTTCACCATAAGCTGACGCCACTCTGGGTTGGCAATTAAGTACTTCATAGCATCCAAATATACTTGCGGTGGAAGTTGCATACTTTCCAAAATTGACTGACAATTTTCCAGGGAATATCGATCCGTCCAACCACTTGTGTTCTCTTGGGTCCCATCACCGCCACTGCGAGTTGATGCCGCAGATCCCATAGTCTTATTGGAAATAGCTTGCGCCAACTGAGTCATCGCACCCAAAAATGGGTTTCCCTCCTCGTCTCTCCTTCTCCTCCTCCTATTTACGGATCTGCTATCTCCATACCTATTAGATCGTTTTTCTCCAGTTGATCTATCTGGATCAGGATCGAAGTCATCTTCATTCATGTTTGCCTCGATGGGATCGGAAAAACACACGGTGGATGCCGCAGGTTCAGATGCAGATGTGAAAGCAAATCTGCCAGTTGCATTTTGCTTCTCGAATATGACCTCATATAACTCTCTATCAACGAGTCCTTTATGTAGGAATTGCTGCGCACCAGGGTTTTGCTGTTATTGAAAAACAAACATACACATTAATTTATATTTACCCAAAACAAAAAGTGCATACCGACTACTGCGTTATAAGAATTGGAAAAAAGAAAATGTTATTTACCTTTATATATTCTTCCCATATCTCTTTAGGACATGTTGGAGTTTGGGACTCGTGATCCCAACCAAACCCCGTATGTCCTATTAGCATACGCCAAGACCTGTATGTTGATCGCAAGCGTTGGTACTTAGAAGCCAACTGTTGCACTTCCAATTTCTTCTGCGCTACATTTTGTAATTGTTCACTAATCCTCCTATGGTCAGAAGCTCTTATTGCAGTACCGTGGGTTGTTTTCACCCGCTCAGCCAACAGTTCTAAGAACCTATGGGTGAGTTCAGCAGTCCATTGAACGGACTCACTCATCTAATAATAGTAGGGTGAGAAGAACAATCATGATTGAAATATTGTAACAATTAGGATACATATCAATATAAACATATGCAACATATAACATTATAAACAAAACATACAGAAAATATTACCTCGTTTGACCCAACACTGCTTTCAACAGAAAGTACGGGGGACACGACGGTCAAGGTAGACCAACAAGGTCTTTTGTGTACCCCAATTCTGAATAAACGTCGACCTGTCTTCTGGCGTCGAAAGTAGTGATCAATTCTGCGATGGTGGGCTGAGTGACATGTACAATTGTTCATGGCATTGTAAGTGACTTGCAGTTATCAACCTACAAAATGATTAATACATAAGTTAGACAAATCATCACCTATTCAAACCATTGATTAGTTTGCTGGAATGAATAAGAACCTGGACTGACTTTCCAGCCTTTAAATTTAACTCTGCATATAAAATAATCTACAAATTCTTTATTCATTAAGGCACAAAATGCAAAAAAGAAATGGGTCAGAGTTAGAGAAACAGCCAAGGTTAATACTTTCAAATTATTATGCTCACCTAACAAATAAAACCAAGATTTCGCCATAATTAAATCAGACAATAAATGATTACTAAAGACCCATATACATTCTCCAATCTTGTGAAGAAATTATCAGCTTTCCATCAACAAGTCGACTAGCATCATTATAGTTGTCCATAGATAAGACAGCAATGCTAGGCATGAAGTTGATTTTTCCATTAATCATAAGATATATCTCAATGGCATAAGATATATGGTGCACCAAACAGAAACAAATAAACTACATTGGAGCTTAAGCAGGGTAAATATAGCAGATGGTACAGATGAAATAAGCTGGGTACATGCAGCAGAGGTTATGCATATTAACAAAGCAAGGATATTATAAATTGTATGAATATGACTGGCAAAAACAGGTTTAGAGCAATATGCATAAACTCAATGAAAAAAGTTATACCTTCCGGAAGGCCAAAATATCAGCCAAGGGAATTGATAATGTAATCTTTAAAGCAACATAAAGAGAATCAGTGAGTGACCTATCACCATACAGCTCAAACACACCAAGCTTCCAGACAGAGCTGTCATGACAAAAGGAAGAAATAAAAAACCACATGAAAAATAGCCAGCACCATATATCTTATCCCATTTAGTCAAACTCAAGACAAAACTAGCCCCACCGAATCCATTAATCATAAGGAACCAAAAAACCAAAAATGATTTTTCACCAAGTAGGTGGTCCTAATGGGTCTAACTCCAAACTTGTGGTAGCTATCACCTATGTCCACACACAGAACTAAACTACAACAAATTACTCAACCATCACAAACCATTCATAAATTCCCACATTACCAACCACCCATCAAAATTGAAACTTTCCAAACAAGTCCTCTCTGTCAAACCATATAACCACAATCACAAGACACATACATACACCAAAATTCCACCATATTCACAACACATTCTGCAAAACGACGTCCCTACTCGTTTCCAGAAACACAAAAAACACAACTGGGTTTTAAGTTTCACTGCATCATACAATAAAAATTGTCATTTTTTTTCCAGTTCTTAATTCATTACGGTACAAAATGGTAATATGTAAAGCTTAGAAATTGAAAAAATAAAAATCAAAATAAAATTCTGAAAGTGGAAGGTACCAACAGATCGGCAGCGCCTTTGATTGAAAGTTGAAACTGAGAATTGTTCAAAGAGTAGCCCTAATTTGCGCACGGTGGTGAAGAGAGCCGTTTTATATATCCTGCGCCTCTTTCTTACCCTACGCTTTCTCGCTGTCCACCCATCACTCTTGATGACTCAGAGAACGACATCGTTGAAGGATTAGAAACCAACAATCTGCTTTGGTGGAGAATAGTGGAGTAAATGATGAGATTTCAGGAAATGAAGAGCTTTGTAGCAGCTGGGCGAGAAGGAGAAGGAGGAATAGTGGAGTAAAGATGTTTCAGTGTGCTTCAATATTCGTTGATGGACTGAGTGAGAGGAGAAGTCACGGGTGTATGCAGAGAAGATGTCAGTTGTTGTTGGGAAAAATAAATGCAAAAAACTCACAACGGTCAAAAAATACTGAGTTGCATTTGATGGATATCTGAACCAAACAAAGTGTTTACTGTACCCTTTATTGAGAAACTCATTGACAATTTTTTAAATACCGAAACAAACGCAGCCTAAAGTAAGCAACTAAAAAAATAAAGCAAATCAAACACAAGGATTTTAAAGTGGTTCAGCCAAATCGATTTAGTCTACATTTACTATCCACTCAAACAACACTAAGCAAAAACTTTCAACTATGCAATTTTAAAAGAGAAAAATTGCAAACTCTTTACACTATCCCCAAAAGCCCAATTATACCCTTAATAACAACCCACTGACTATTTTTTTTTTTTTTTTTTTTTTTTGTGTCTTTTCTTACACATTTTGAAATACTTTAAAAGCTCAAACTACTAGTCTATTTAAAGGGGAAAGTCCTTTAGCAACTTTTTTTCCCCAGCAATGTGGGATTCAAGGCATTATCCTAACAATAAGCATGAACGACTCTAGTAGATTTCTATATTATCATTGTTATATTGCGATATTTTTTTTTTTTTTATCATTGTTACGCATTTAATTTGTTAACATTATTCTTATTACATGCTTAATTTATTGTACGTTATATATTTCATATAATTATCTCAATGAGTATGCTCTGTGATCGTCACTATTAAGTTGGATCTTCCACATCAGAAAATAAAGAGAATTTTTACATTATCTAACACTGCAATTTATTATATATTTCTAACCATTTTTGTTTATTTCTTGGATTCATATTTATCATCTTATTTCTTATTCTAATCTCATATTTACTACACATTTATCATCATGAGTACTATATCAATATTATTTCTTTGCAACAAGAAATTTACAAATGTGAGACAATTATTATTTTGCAACCTGAAGTTTGCAAAAATGAGACAATTATTCAACGTTGGCAAAACCTGAAGTTCTGATACAATTATTTGACATTGTCAAACTTGAAGTTTTGATATAATTTTTTTATATTAATAGAACTTGAATTTCTGATTTAATTATCGATACTTTATTTTATCCTAAAGAACCTAGAATTCTTATGTCATTATTTTACATTAAAACTAGAAATTAAGTTTGTTATTGCCTAAAATTAAAGTAAATAAAAGCAAGAGAGGACAATGATGATGTTCGAAAAAGTTGTGTGATAAAGATGAAAATAATATTTCACCCCCATTATTCTTTTCATAATTTTTATCCTTTGCATTTTATATTTTTTACAGTTATATTATTCATTATAATATTTATTTTATTCTTTCTTTATTTAAAGTTTTTCAGAATGTCAAACATCATCAAGCTTCAATATAATATTCTTAAGCTTGATGGACAAAAATTATATTGAATAGGCTCTTGACATTGTTCTTCAGCTGGAATCCATGAGCCTTGTTGATTGACAGTTGAGTATGTGGATGTAAAAGATCCAATTAAGCTTGGGAAATTTTGAAAGAAAGATTTGACCACCAAAAATCAATGACAGTCCCACGAGCTCTATTGACTAGACTCTCTTACGTTTACAAGATTATAAAATTGTTACTGGATACTGTTAGGGCCAAAAATCGTCTTTGGTCCAAATAGGAGGAACGGGCCTGACACTGAAGAAAAAGTCATGCCCAATCCCGATGTCACCCAGCCGGATTAGGCCCATTCGGTACAAGATATAGCCGGTCCAACACAAGTGGGCACGAGCCTCCTAATCCCAGTCCATTTCCTAAAGTCCATGGGCGAGTCCAAAGCTCACAGCGCCCTCAGAATACTTTCCTACTCCTGATCAATCTCCCGATCAAAATCACCTTACTATTCCTGATCACTTTCTTGCTCGAAGTTACTCTCCTAATCAGAATCACCTTCCTATTCGGACACTGGTAAGACAGCTTACCACGGCCCTAATTTTTCTAGGGTTTGCATCAGAGTCATACTAGGACTCCTACTTCTACCAGGATTGGGAGACCAGACAGTCACTATATAAGCAAAGGTCAGCCCTCCCACAAAGGACACTACATTACACCTTCACACCCGAAGCTCCTACTTGAGAGTTTCACTTCACCGCCGTAGTCATAGTCCCCGACTAGATTTCCGGTAACCTCTTACTCCTTAGCCCTCACTATATTAGCCTTTCAGCCTTGTGTTTTCCGTTCGCTTCAGGCGTGTGTTTTTCTACGTATGTAGGTACAGCAGATCGCTAGTGGCCTCATCCTCATGGGATCAGACCCCCCTTCTGTATAGATAGATTTTTACGTCTACAGGTACAACTCAGCTTTGTTCAAAATTTTTCTCAATTGAGATTTTGTGGAGAAAATATCACTGAGAATATGATGTTAGGAAAAACATTTTCCATATTCCATCCCTCAAATATGGTCTTATAGCAACAATATTGGGAACGTAACTTCAAAAAGTTTTATAAATCTCATGTTTACTTGTTGCTGAGCAAAATAATGAACTCTTATTGAGAAACCACCAAACTCGCCCTACTAGCGTCGTACCATTGTGAACGCAACCACCAAAAATAATAATTGTGCGCCTGGGTATGATCATGGATGTCTGACCTGAAGGTGGTTAGGCTAAGAAGTTTCAGTCAAACCATTAGAAGTGGGATAAGACTAACCTAAGCACAAGAGAAGGAAATAATTGCAGAAAGTCAAGAAATAATGAAATCAAGTGTTATAGATGTGGTGGTAGAGGCCACTGGGCACGTATCTGTCATACTCCCAAACATTTGGTGGACCTATATCATGCTTCTATGAAAAATAAAGAAAAAAAGATAAGAGACAAATCTTACTGATGATTCTGATATAGTTGGTCTTGTAAAT